GTTTTAAAATAAAATAATGGGACTCGTCACCTCGCTCGGGCTTTCACAGAGGAAGAATGGAGAGCTTGATAGAAAAGTAGCAAACAATTGTAGGAAACTAGGGGAAATACTTCACGCTGGATCGTGGGTCGCGGACGTTCATGCAAATTCGGGATTTTATGAATATCGCTATAACGGAAATGGAAACTCGCACGCAACGTTTCTTCTCCAGCCTTTAAACGTCACAAGCACCGTGGCGTAAAATTATAAGTTTCCCTCGGATATTTCGCGCAGCGTTTGCAAATAGCCATTTACTTATTCATTTATTCCATTTACTCGTTATCTTTCAACAGAGAAGACAGCTTCTCGTCATTTCACATTTTCCCAATTGTTGCTCTATTGCTCTATTGTGACTATGACATTGAAAGTAAATACGATCTATTAAACAATATTCAAGCAATGCACTTTGCTATTGCGAGATTTGATGTACTTAATTGCAGCCTTGCAGCCTTGCAAATGTATTTTGAAAAGCCACTGGAAAATTTCTCGCACTTTGAAATTCCTCGCAAGTGCACGAACATGACAGTCTATAAATCACTGATTACTTTCTGTCAGATTATTTCTTATTTTAGTACAGTATATGGGGGAAAAGTTACGTTACGTTAAAGTCACGAGATGACCTAATACTATATATATAAAATGACGCGACTTATCTTTGAGAATATTCGATTAATCTTTCGTTGATTTCACGACGACAATGTTTAATGTTTCGCGCTGATTCTGCAAAACGATCACGCGAGAACTTTTAACATTGAATATGGCACTTAACATTGAATATGGCACTTACCATAACGCTGAAAACGACGGATATCGAGGTGATGCCAAAGATACTGGCCCAATACGGCAAGCCAATCACCGCCTTCAAAGCGACGCAAGGCGTGAATATCGTGACGGCCAAGTTCAACAGGCTGCGTATCACGTAAGAGAAGCTTGCCAGACATCTGACTAGCTTCGAGTTGAACCTAGGTGAATTAGCATAATTACAAAGAGGTCTATTCAAGAGGCATGGCCGGACATGATCGTTAAACGTGAGAGAGCAGTGTCAAGGTTCGTGGAAAAAAAAAAGTCAAACGGTAGAAGCTGCTGGAAAGAAAAGTCTAGAACCGCGCGCGCTTTTTGCTCCGGCAAAAAAGTGGAGAGACGAGAGAAAAGAAAGGAGGGTTGTGAGACGCAACCCCGTGGCCTCGGTAGACCCCGAGGCAAATTGAAAATGTAAAGCAGCCTTGGTTTCGGCGAAGCAAACGACGATATCGATTTCGCCGAGCTTGTCGCTCGTACACGAAGAATTGAAATTTTCCCCGTGATCCGTCACGTGTCCGCCGTGATTTCGATGCGAAACCTCGAGCACCGGGCACCGTGGCGTTCTTATTTCGGGGGCGAGGAGGAAAAGCTGATGCTGCCGCGTTTGATATTCCGCGCGGACGAGCCAGAAACCTATTAACTTTCCGAACCTTCGATTATTTTCGAAACTGTGAAATTTACATGAAATGGATACGCGGTGGCATCAAATTTCCCTTCGACTGAAAAAAAGACAACAAGAAAAAGAAAATAAATAAAAAAGAAAGGAAAAGCTAGGAGATGCTCTCTCTCGCGGGGAATTTGAATCATTCACCATGGCACGGGAGATACCATTGGTATACAATGGTTTGCATTTTCCCGCGAACACATCACGGGCAGATTTGCCGGAGATAATTACCTCATATCTAGATACTGATAGACCGACGTGATGCCGAGGCTGTAGTACACCGGGACGAAGATGAAGCACACGATGGGATACGCGAGCAGCATACCGTAGATGGTCTCCCACATGGCGCTGCCTCTGTAATACAGCTCCGACGGATAGCCGAGGAAGGATCTGACACCGAGGGTGCCACGGGCGATGGACAGCATCATGGCGCCCATCGAGACGTTCCCGGTGGCGAACACGTAGTCCGCCTTGGTGGACTCCTTTCGTCGGCCCCGTAGCTTGCCCCATAGCGGGATGACGAACGAGGCGATGATACAGCCGACGAACACCAGGTAGTCGATCACCATGGACGACGCGTTGATCGTCATCCTGGGCTCTCTTGCGGGGCCGTTTCTTCCTTTACCCTCGAGTCCCTTTCGAAGCTACCGAAAAATGAGAATGTGCCGACGTTACGGGCGTTACGGTTCGAGCTTCCCCTGAACGACTTCGTGTTTGACTTTGTCCGCGGAACGAGAGTCCCGAGAGCGAGAGTTCGGCTATGTTTACGGACGTCGGCGTACAATTTGCTCACCGATACGCCGATCAATCCGAGTCGATCGCGACGCTAATAAATAGATACGACCGCTACGCGTCAAAATCGAATCGAATCGAATTCTCTTTCTCTTGTCTATCGGAGTGATAGCGGATACGGACGTGTCTCGACGTTTTACAACGTGATGGTACACGTGATGGTGCACGTGTTGATCGTCGATCAAGCGAGTGCGAGTATAGCGAGTTTGCGTCGTGTTAGCGATAGAAGATCGATGCGATCCGATGCGATCGGAACGGCGGCGCGTACTCGGACTGAACGCAGCCCGTAAACCACTTCACGTTATTATGTTCGGGACCTGGAGCGAGACGGAGCTACTCGCGGCGATAGCGCGACGAACACCGACCGAGGCTATCTTCCGGCAAGCGGCGAGGAAAGGGGCGAGGGTAACTGACGCGAGTGGAAGGGACTAGTAAGACTAGCTGGTTAAAGCTTTTCCTTATCTTGTATCGCTCTATTGTTTATCGGCGTTTGCACATCAGGCGTTAGGCCTCGCTGTTTGTACACTCGGTGTTATTTGCATACCGTGTCGATTCGACGCGTGTGACGATCCCTCTGAACTTAACACGTTCACGCCGGCGTTGTTTTCTCTTTGCTCCATCATTTTTTGCGACAGCAAACATGATGATACCTTTTCCATCCACGCTAATAGAAATAAATAAATCTCTTTTTTTCTACCACCGGTGTAAACGTGTTAATAATTCTGTCCAAACGATCGTTTTTTTTAACACTCGTGCAGATCAACGTGAACCGGGTATTACCGGATATTACCGATCTGTTGGCGTTTCGTTTCGAAAACCGAAGGCCATAACCTATTCATAGATTAGGTAAACTGTATTCTAGAAATTGAAAGAGCAAAACATCTTCGTATCGTACGCGTTGTTAGCTCGATAATTTCTGGAATGATCGGAATTTAGAAAGAGAGAAAGAGAGAATCATCATTAAGGCTAAGGAGATTTCATGGTTCTACGAGCAGCAAGTGTTCGTGAAACATTCGCTTCAAATTGCCACGAATGAAACAATTAGCGTCAAATTGGCAATCAAAGTGATAAGAGAAAATGAAAAATTTAGTCAACGAAAGCATATGCCACTATGTATCGTTGAGTCACTCTAAATTTTCAGATACGATAACGAACTGTCGTTAGAATAACACGCGAAAATGTGCACGACGAAGCAAAGGAGAAAAAGACTTGGAAAAACTGAATCCTACGAACCTGGAGAATCGCTTCTTTCGACTTAAGCCTCGCCACGAATCTCGTCTGTTCATTCGGGTCATTGTGTCCACGTCACGTTTGTTCTCGCAGAAGCAATTTCGAATCGTATCCGAGCAAACGAAAAGAACGAAAAGTTTCTTCGAGAAAGAAACTCTCTCCGCTAATCTACCTTCCGCAAATCCATCCAATAATAATGCTTAGAGACGCGAATTCGAGTTCTGTGTCGCGAGACTTGACAAACTCGCCATTGTCTCGTTGATTACCCGAAAATCAGGAAATATATTCCATTGGACGTTGCGTTCGTCATCGGCATACCTGCGTGCACGCGCGAATGGAGTCGAGCCTCGACTCTCGTTCCCGCAGTTACAATGCGAAATCAATTGGAAGCTATTTATCGTGCCGCGTTTAACCCATTTCGGCCGTGCAATCGAACGGTCGACCGCTTCCCCGCCGGGAATATTTCGTATGCGGGTCATTCTTTGATCCCGCGGTTGTTGTTCCTTCGTTTGGAACGAACGAGACAGCGCGAATTTATTCATTGAGAGCACTAGACTTACTTACAATTAGTGAATCATTTTGCGAAAATATTCCGCAGGGGGGATCAATTTCAAACATTTGGAATTCCTTTTGGAAGGAAGAATGGCTATACGCGTTTCTGCACAATCATTAATTCCTTTTTTATGTTTTCCGCATTATATCTCTGCAAATAACGTAACGAAGACTGTCATTCGCGGTTCAGCGTTATCGAGGATGATCGATCGTTGAAGTTTTCTTCCCTCCGGATCCGCCTCTCTCGTGTTTTCCAGCGATCGGGCATCATTCGGCGAAACGCTGCGAATTATGTAAATAACGATAGAGCATACGTGCATACGTGTAAAACAGCTGGATTCATCTGCTCCAGTTCAGCTGATACGCCGACCTCGATGTCATAAATAAGGCAATAAATACAGCGGCTGGCATGTGACACACGAGCCACTTGTTTTCTGCGTGCATATCGAAACCCGCTCGCTCGTGACAATTAATCCAACAGCGATCGACGAATCGTCGGCCGAACGTCCGCCGCTAACAAGGAATTGCCAACCTCGATATATCGTGGGCGATATATCCTTTGGCGAAAGGAAAATCGCGCGTAGGTTAACGATCCTGCTACGATTAACTTTCTAAACGCTAATCTCCATTTTCTTTACATCTGTCTTACTATCAGCTTCGATAATCGAGTTACGTGTGATCTTGAAACTTCACGCCTTTATTTCTCTCTCGTCTCGTCTTTTCGTTTGTGAACGAAAGACCTCCACATTAATCGTTGCAGTACTATGCAGCGCGATCGCGCTCCAATGTATGTTCTCGATTTTTCGGTTATCGTCACATTGAAGTTTCCTCTCCTAATACTTTTCTTTTCAATTAAACCTAAATCTAAATTGTATAAATAGGCAATTTTTACTTTATCTACTTTTGTTGCGTTGCTTTTTATGGTATTTTTCGTTATCGCGCCGCGTTAAACACTGTTGGTCGGACTCGTGTCAAATAGTGTCATAGCGTTTGATCGCGACGCCCTCACCTTTTCAATTAAATCACGTGGATAAATAGGCAATTTTTACTTTATTTATTTTTATTGCGTTGCCTTCTATAGCATTGTTCGACACGGTTTTTAGAATAGCCCGTGGTTAGAACAAGAACGGTTAAAGCTTTAATCGCTCGGCTGGAAACCGCGTCGACAACGCGTCCCCGTGAAATCACAGGGGAGGGAACGAGTTACTTGTGAGACTGGGAGCTGTGTGGTGCAGCCACCGTGAAACGCAAGGCGCCGCAGTCAATTTCGTTCGCCCGTCTTCGTCGCCGTCCTCGTCGTCGTCGTTTGCCAGGTGTATCGACAGAGCCAGCCTTCTACTTATGCTGAACGCGTGACAACACCCGGCCATGCTGCCGAACTCGCGGAAATTTCCTCGAGAAAAATTCTAATTCGCCGGCGTCTGACTTTTCTCGTCCCATCCCCTTCGTTTCCCCTTTGCTCCTCGCGCGAAGAGAACCAGACGAGGAGTTATCGCCGCGTGTTTCAGCGGCCAAGAGATTCAGGCCGAGGACGTAATTAGTTTCGCGAGGTGTTGATTGTGTCTCAAGGTGTACTCGCGAGTGTTCGCGATATAGACAGAGACCGAGACAGTTTCCAGAATGCGAAGCAGAGGCGACGCGTGTCGCTCGATCGTCCAATCAATTTGTCAAAGTGTGTAAATCCCGCGTCCGTGAGCCTGGATCCTCTTCGATCATTTTTCCAACCAACGTCGTGACGGTCGTGACGGATGTGAATTTCACGTGAGCCGATTAGAACGTCTTCGACCGGCGCGTTCAATGGCTCGTCACGTGGATTCTCAATGTAATTAACTGTGTCTCCTCGGCGAACACGCGGGACGAACGACGCATAATTACCGAGTAATACTGTGCGACAGTGCACCGGGTCGATGTTACTAGAAACTTGCAGCTGTTTCTTCCATAGTTTTCCGCTCTCGCGTCTCACGGGGCGTTGCCTCTCTATCGCTGTTTGTTACTCGACGCGAAACCCGGGACAATGCGGGTCGCGTAACGCGCGGCGGAACGTCAAATGTTGACGGAAGATTCGGGCGACACTGGTTGTTTCTAGTCGATGATGATGCTAACGCTGCACGGACTCTTTTGTACGGCGCACTTTGAAACAATGAGCCCGTAGCCTTTCCCTCTCCCACGTGGTGTTCTCTGTCTGTCGCACTGTTCCGCACCACTCTTCGACGCCTGCTTCATCCCGAAAACCCTTTTTGTCATAAAAACCTCTTACATTTCGCAGAGACCAAGAAAGACTTTACACTTCCTTCGATAAAGTAGCATCCCGCGCAGCGAGCAGCCAGTCTTTCGTGCTCGTGCTTTTTTCTCACGTTGAACAAGCGACATTTTTTTCTTTTTTTTTTTTTT